TTTCCCTAGCTATGTATGGATATACTTAGGTCTTATTCTAAAAGGTGTTTGGCAACTTAGATTATATTTCAGTATATACAGCAATAAAAGCTAAGAAAAAGCTATGTAAAAACCAGAATGTTTTTATTAAATAACACAGGGATATTACTCTACAAATATAACAGATCTTTCTTCACTTCTTTGCTTGGTTTTATTAATAGGTTATCAATGGTAATATCCTGGAGTTAACAGCTGTTGGCATTGCATTAAGAGTGTCTGTGAAGTATTCTTCAAAAATACGCTGTTTAACAGCCTCCAGGTACATTCGTCTGATCTTCAGTTCCCTTTAGGGAGATACTCTCTCTTTCACTCAGTTGTCTGTGGAACTGAGAGGGTGACTGAGTATTTTGGGACAATCACGGCTAAGCATAGTGTTTACAGATCTGGCATATCAAGCTATGCCAAAAGCATAACACCTCTGAGTAAGAGTGAAAATTTTATTGCTGTAGTATCTGAGTATAAAAAGTATGCCTTTTTGTTTGTTCGCTTTGATTTTTGGGGGGGTGACTGGAAGTGCTGTGTAATGTATCCTCTCTATATTTGAAGAGAGAGGAAGCCCCATCCTTTTGTTTGACCTGATAATTCTGCTTAAGTTGAGGATTCCTCAGGAAATGCAGTTCTGCTCTTGGAGACAGGTTGCTTGGGGTTTTTTCTGTGTAGTTGGGCTTTTCAATGGAATGGGTCCTTGTCTCAAGAGTTATTCAGGTGGTTATACCTCCATGAATGCAATCTCTGGGTTTTCTCAGGAACGTTCAGGTCCTGAAATGTTATTTCAATGGGATGTCAAAAAGATAAATAAACCTGTAATAACAAAAATAACTTTACTGTGAAGATAAAAATTGAACAGATTATAGAGTTCCTCACTCTACTGTGATCTTCTCTTACTTTATAACAGCGCCCAATATATTCAGTTATCAGGAAACAGTAGACTGTCACAGTATTTAATTTTTATACTACCCATTTAAAACTTGCCTGGAGGACTGGTGATCTAAAAGTATTTCTATACATGATAATTTTTGTGCAAAAAAAGAGAGGAAAAGGGGACTGGGGGAGGAGCTCACAACTAAAATATCGACGGCTTTAGGTGGGTTTTCACATTACAGAACCTTTAGCAATGGGAAGTTATTGATACCTGTATTTATTTTTTTAAATTAGATTTGATTAAGGATGAGGACTTGTACAAAAGTAAATGTAAACTAGATACAGGAATTACTGCTGAATATTGGATTGACATTTCTAAATAGTTTGAGATGTTTAAAATGTCTTGTCTTTGTTTCTGTCAGCGATTGAACTATACCTTCAGACTGGTTAAGATGACTCCTCAAAATGGAAGAGAAACACCAGTTTGAGTGTGTAATTACCATTTTTTCAGAAAGAGATGTGCAGCTGTTCTTTCTCATGTCCTTTTAATCTCTTTAGTACTATTTTTAACAGTAACAAACCCCCTGGAGAATTCTTTGTGTAAGCGATGCCAGTTGGGACCCCCATAAGAATCACAATTTGGAACCAGGGCAAGAATAACTAACCCATTGTAATTATCGTACTTCTATCTCACTTGCAGAATTGAGAGTCTGCTGATTCAATTCATGCAGAATTGTGTACATTTTACCCAGAACTGCATGTAGTATTGCTAAATGTCTCTTCCTTAAGAACTGTGTGTACTATAGCTGATATGATGTTTTACCCAAATTTTTGAGCAAGTCTATGAGATTGCTAGTAGCATCATCTTGCATCTTATAGCTCAGCAGCAAATTTTCTTGCAGTTTTTTTAACTGGTTAGGAGGATGTCTAGTTACGGAAGTTATACTGCTTTGAAAAGAACATGGCTGTAATATGACAACTGTAGCATTTTAAAGCCAAAGAGGGTGAGATTTCTGTCCTTGGGGGGAAAAAAACGAAACGTAATTTAATTTAAACAGTGGGGTGAAATCTATGTTAGCTATTGACCTAGTCATGATTCCTCAGCAATTTTATATAAATATAACCATGCATTCAGTTGACTGACTCCTGATTTATCATATATAGGAAAGACTAATTAAGATTTCTGAATATTACACTTCTCAATATACTTTGTCATTTTCAAACTGAGAATCCATCTCAAAATTCTCAGAAAAAGGATTGTCTAGTTTTATAAAGCTTTTTCAAATGGGAATAGTAATGGAATTATGCTGATACTATTTGTATTTTTTTCTGCAGAGCTAATCCTTCATGTTAAATGATGCCATATGTTAAAAGCAAAATGAAAAACCCACTTCTTAAAACATGAATTATGAATTAGTTCCATTTTTATATTTTCTTGCAGAAGAGGATAATTAAGCAAAGAGAATGAGTGCAGTTAACAGCACACTGTAGTGTGCCGTATATTTTCAGGACCAGCGATGATTCTCATGCTCATTTCATGAGAAATCTTTCCAATCTCTGCATTTCTGCTGTGTTCATTGTTGTAGCTGAACAGTAGCATCTTAGCAGTGAGCATCAGAAAATAGGGCTTTTATGGATAAAGACAATGCTCTAATACGCTGTGGTTCTTTTGTTTTCCAGAATCGTCCAGCCATACAACAAGAACAATAATGGTAAGTATAGAGGAGAATATAGGTATCGATCTATCTATAGATATGATTTTTCCTTTGAAAACAAAGTGGATACAGTAGTATCCTAAGCCATTGGCATGTTTCTTTATGAAGTCCAGTATCACTGTAGAGATAAAATGAGTCTGTCTGCCACCGCATTTCATGGGAAATCTTGGAAAAAATGTGAGGTTGAACAGGTGAAAAATCCAGTTACAATTCTGTGTGTTATGTGTTTAAGTGATTTTTGATTGTCAAATTAATGTTGATAAAATCTCTTGCATTCTATGTGTATCACATGTGTCAGAGCACATTTAAAGTTCAGAACATATGGTGAGTGATTTCTTGCATCACTTTCCTGTGAGGCCAGTTTCTGACTTTACCTTGAATTTGATAGTTTGGGTTCCAGAAGCAGAGAGATGTTTAAGTGGACAGATACATCTTCAAAAATGAGATTTAAAAGTTTTATGCATAAAAATGTCATGGATTTAGTGTCTATCTTGGGTTTTTATAGAGTGAGAAATTTTATCAGTCTTCTTCAGTTTCAAACTCCTACTAAAAGTTAGATAAGGACTGAACAAAAATTCACATAAAGAAAACCTTTCTCTGGGAATGATTCATGCCTATCCTGTAGATAGTTTGGGGGAGGGCTATCATCTTTTGGAAAAAGACCAATTTTTGAGGCCAGTTTTGAAATTCTAGAATAAAACCCAACAAAACATGATGTTTGTTTTCATTCCTGCAGTTTTCAGGGTGTCCCTTCAAGTTTATTACCTCTTCTGAAGGTACAACATTTGGGGGACATGTAAATTCCCACACAGATACTTGATTCAATAGGGGAGAAAGGGTAACTATAGTTCATTGCCTTTATCATCAATAATCATTAATAATCCAGTGCAAATGGATATTAAATAGGTAAGGACTACAGATCACAACATTTCAAAATAGTAGAGATGTGTCTGGAAAAAGTGATGTTTCTGTTCTCTGCTGAATGTGATGTAATCCTTGTTTGTCATGAACTTTTTTAAGACAGACCCATTTCAAAATGAGATGCTTAGTTATTCAAGTGTATTCCTCTGCTATAAAATTTTGGAAGGTGAAAAATTTTTAAATATTTTTGAAACTCTGCATTGGTGTTGGGAAAAGAGCTATAATGAAGCTGGTAAAATAATTCACTCTTCATTTCCCTTCCCCAACTCCCCCCCATTAATTTTACTCTGAAGATAACATATTTTGCCAGTCTCTCTTTTCCATTAATGTACCAAAACAGCTCTAAAAACTGACCCAAAGAAATGGTACTTTTGCCTGTATAAATGTGTCCTTACACCAAAACATCGTCAAACTTCAGAGATAAGAGAAAGGTTTTTAAATAACTTGAGTTATTGAGGTTCCTGTGTTGTGAACCTCTCCAGACCTCTCTGCTGACAACTCAGACCAGTCAGCGTGCAGTAATTGTCCATTGCACTTAAATAAATAAAAGTACAATTAAAAATAAGTGTTGTGTTTAGTGTGAAAAGTTTATAGCAATATGTCCACTCTTCTCTGCAATTAAAGCATAACTGAATGTGTAATGGAAAATTTCTTACTCTCCAATGAGTAGGTAGAATATGTCAGTAAAGCCAGAAAATACACTATTTCTTGCATTAGAAACAGTGTGAGGTTATCTGTTCAATACAGACACAGTAAAGCGATACTGCTGAGATCCATTTTGGAATGACTACTGCAATAAATAATCACTTGGAAATAAAGTCCCCTTTTTCTGACTGATTATGGTTAATACTGTAACAGATAAAAAGTTAAAGCATGATCTTCAGTCAGTCAGAATGTGAGAAGGTATAGCGGCAAATCTGTATACTGCCTCAGATGCTTTGATGTAAAAAAGCTTTTGTCTTACCAAGGCAAGGTATTTGCACTCCTTTTAAGTTGCATTTATAGGTGGTGGTATAACGTAAGTAAGGCATTAAATCTGATCTTGTCTGTGAAGATTCAGATTTATGTTAAAATCAAAGCCAATGAGGAACAGAGTGTAGTTTGCTAAGGAAAAAGAAGTGCAGTTTTTCTGAGAACGTTACAAGAATTCTTATTCTGTATCTAAATACAATGACGTCTCCCTATATTTTGTTTCAGATTCTTGTTCGTAAAAATAAAAAATTAGAAAATTTTTTAAGGGTCGAGGGGGAGGGGATCTTCTATGTTTTCACTATAAAACAAATTACTTCTTATTCTGTGGATAGACACCTAGGTTAGTCTTTCATTACTGATTTACTGATTTCTATAAATAAATATTTACTTAAATTACTGCTTTTAAAGACATGGTTTATTCAGCTGTTGTGTAACTGTCATGAAATACAGAAGCTATAAACATTGTAGTATTTTACCCCAGATGCTTTGGAAAGTCAACTGTTGTCTCCCTGCTGCCCTCCTTCCCCCCCCGCCCCCCCCCCGAAAAGTCCTTGACTTGGATTTTCAGGGTTGTATCTATTCTAGGTGTTTTATGAAAGCTTTGATAGCAAATCTGTAGGTTCAAAAGTAATACTTGTGCTGACTATCTTGTTAATTTCTTGTATATGATTTGTTGTTTGAAAATCTTTTTTTTTAATAGCCTTCGTCTTTCTTAAATGAAATTCTATACCCAAAATGAATGTGTGCCTGCACGCTAGTATCAATGTTTGTGATTCCATGCTGTGCGGAGACTGTGTTTTGTAATTTTTACATTCATCTCAAATCTCCATGAATAAGTAAACTAAACCAGCCCCAATCCTTGATGCTTATTAGGGGTATAATGCTAATGCCTGTGCAAATAAGAACACTTCAGGTGTGGCAAAACAGAATCAATACCTGATTTAAACAATGTAATTCTATACTTGTTTTATACTATGTCCTGTATAATTAGGTCAAATATATTGAACCAATCAATATAGATTATTACCAATCATCTGAACATGCCTGATTTCTTCTAGTGATTTTTTTTTCTCCATGTAGTGAGCTTCTTTTGCTCTGTTTGATTTGATTTTTTTGTTTAAAGATGTGACAAGAATTTTAAAAATGCTCATTTAAGGCAATGGGAATTTTTTTCCTTTTTGAAAGGATGTGGAAAAATGTAAGAGATAATAAATTCAAGTCCACTTAGGAATTTATGATAATCCAGTTAACAATTCTTTCAGTCACAGCATAAACATTCACTGTTAGTTGTTACACTTACGATGCCTGTTGGTGTTAGCTTTATGTCAAAGCTGGATGCCTTTTCAGAATCTTCAGTGGCTCTTAATGGATAAATGCTCAGCCATGTCTATCCCAGTACAAGCTGAGAAACTTATAGACAGGAACCTCGACTGTGATTTGGGATCTGAGTCCCATTTCTGAATTTGTACAGGATTCCACTTTGACTTTTCAACATGCATCTTAATATCCCTGTGCTTGAAATTTCTCTGGGAGCCAGTGAGAACAGGAGATTTACCCTCCATAATAGAGATGCTGTCTTAAGTTGCCACTTTAATGTGATGTGTTTGGAGTATTTTTGTAGGTGTTTTTTGAATCCAAACTTCACTGGACTGGTAGCTGCCCCTACAGCACATATCATGCATATAGTGATGCTATACCTCTAATTCCTCTGTTTCTCAGACATAGAAAAGCCTTATGCCTAGCGCACCTTGTATTGAAAGACCTGGGTTTACAGTTAAGCATCTAATTGAATTAGTAACTGCTTGAATGAGTGCTGCTGCTTCCAGAAGATTAGCAGAGAAGCACATTCACATGTAGCTTCTTCACAAAAGGGACTGTTGCATTCATTGACCATTGGAGGTCTCTGACTTGCTCACTGGGAAATGAACATTTGTGTTTGCAAATGGAAAATTCATGCCCCTGCCAGGTGAGTTTTGATTAGCAGCACTTGTAAGCAGCTCTCAAAAGTCAAGCTGTGCACCAGCCTGTGAGAGAAGTACCCAAGAATGGTGCCCAGCGGAATGCTTTGGGAGAGGACAGGTGAAGCTGTGAAGACATTATAAGGGGTCTTCCCATAAACGTCTCCTTGTTGAAGACCTTGAAAAGATTGCCTTTGGTCTCGGAAGTCTCTGAGGATGTGTTCAGTCTGCAGCATGGAGACCTCCTGTTCAGCAGGTGAAACTCTTCCCAGATAACTTTGTGCTGACTTAAATATTTGTGTTCTTTATTGGATGTAATATTGCCTGAACCACAGCTCCCTTAGCCTTGCAAGGTTTTTCTTTCAAGTGCACTCCAGGATAGGTTTCCTCATGATGCCTTTTGGGTGTGGAACAGTTTTGTCCTAGAGGTACAAGAGATCTCAACAAACGTACCCAGACTGAGATGAGGAAAAACGTGGGAGAAAGGAGTCACTCAGCACGGAGGAGGATTTGTCCAACATGCAGTTAGCAAACTCTGGGTAAAGCTCCTGCTGCTCAGGTGCTGCTCTGTGATCTGCCACTGGTATGCAGACTCTTAATACCAGTGGTTTTGTTGCAAAATGACAGCACAGCTTATTAGTGATGTACGCAGTCAAAATCAAAATGCCAGCTGCTAATTGCACATGGCAGTGTTACGGTGAAATTACTGGAGCTTTCTGCATGCAGGGTTTTTTGATTGAGTAGTGCTTCTGTGGTAGTACAGGTAGTATTCCTGAGGCTTTCATAACCTTCCTAGCGTAACTGTGTGCTAGAGGGGGAATATTAAAAACAAAAATTAAAAAACATTTAACAAGTACTTTGTATGAAAGTTGATTTTGCTCTTGGTGTTGATATTAGTATGACAGTGGCATTGAATGCTCATTTTTATACACAGTGGTACATATATATATTTGAGAGGAAGTAAACTGATTTTCTACTCCTAAATTGTTTGAGAACTTCAATTGTTTTGATTAACTAGAAATTAAAGATAATGTGGTCTCTAGCACACAGACTGGAGAATAATGATCTTACTTTCTCTTGTCCTTAAGTGAAATGTAATTGATTTCTTCAAATAGCTTGAAAGGACTGGGGGAGAAGCGAAATAAAAGAGAAAATTCTATCCAATATGATGCAACAGAAATGAGATTATATTGTAACCCTTGCACTATTTTCTGTAATGTTATATCTTGCCTGGAATAAGTGTTAGGGTCTAATAAAAGTAGACAAAGCAGAAGTTCAGATATTAATGACATCTGTCTCTGCCGGGGTAAAAAGTATTATGAAAAAACACATACTTTTTCCATGAGGCTTAACTGTTCTTCAGAGTTTATGCCATAGGAAATGCACTTTTTGTACCTTGTACATTTCCTGAACATTTTTTGCCTATGGGTGTTGTTTTGAGTAAAGGAAACATTCAGCGGTGTATTAGAAAGAAGCCTGTGAAAAGATAGAAACCATTATATTGGATAACCTAAACCCATTTCTTACTGGGGAAGCACAGCAAAAAATTGCCCTTTGAGCCCTTGAATTGTCCTCTGTAATGTATGGCAATGCCCATTGCCAGACAAAAATAATTAGTTTGAATGTACTGTTAAATTTGATGTATGGCAGCATTTTCCAGGCATGAATTCTTACTCACTTTTTGAGCACTATCCACTAAGAGATCATCAGTTAAATACTTTCATTAATTTCTAATTTCATCCAAACTATGTATTTTATCCTGAATTTATTCTAAAGAACAGCTGAATTACTTCTAGTAGCATGTTCTTTACTTCTTCCTCCCCACCAAGGCCAACAGAAAAAAATATGTGAAAACCAAACTGCAGTCTAGACACCAAATAAAAAAACTGGAAACATTTAGATAAATATTTAGAGGGACTACAAAGATAGACTTACAGCCCTAACTGCAACAGCAACTAAGCTCACCGTAAGCCTTATTTCTTTCTAAGACAAAGGAAAACAGTTTAGCTCTAAGAAAAGGGGTATCTGTGACTCACTCAAATTTGATGTCTTGTTGCTCTTTTTGTACTTGTTTGGTTTTATTAGATCTAAGGAGTCATAGAGGAGATTATTCAGTTATTTGCACTAAAATGACAAATGCTGGAATTCTTTGTCGAATGTATAAAATTTGTCCTACTGGAAGGAGCAAATGGTATATGGATCAGGGTGTGTTAAAAGTTGTGGCATAATGTGAATATAATACATTGAATACAAGTGTAAGAATTGTGCAGAAGAAATGAGGCCCTTGTTTATTATTTTTGGCTGTTGTATTTCTATGATATGATTTAAGAGATCAGTTTTGTGTTCGGTTCTGCTAGTCTTTGTGGATGTTACTAGCCCCTTCCTTAGTGTCTGTGGAATTGGTCGCCTGATTAGAGGTTACTCCCATGAATGTGTAGATTTGTGCATATTTTAGGAATACAAAAATGCTATCAGTAATGAGGAATACTTGTATTATTTCACCAAGAAATAGTACTTTTACTATGAAAACATGATGCTGAATCCATGAGAGTAAAGTAAGCAAAACTTTCATCTTTGTATAATGTCTTCTAACATGTCTGTCGGAATCAAATAGTGCTATTATTTAGTCCTGCTGATAATCAATCATGTGGCAAACAAGACTGTTATTTCCAAAATTAATATATTTGTCATGGGATAGTCTTCCAAAATGTTGCCTATAGACCATATAGAAAATACTATTCTGACTCTCTCCTTTTCATGTATAAGATGACAGCTTTCTCTCATTAGATCTGAGTGCTTGCTCTCTTGTTGCACAGTTATTCCAGGTAAAGGTTTAGTGGAAAATGAATGCATCATTTTAATGTTATCTATTAAAATGAAGGCAGACATGTTGCAGTCAGCTCTAACATATAATGACTGGTGCGTGAACCTAAGAACCTTTGTTACCCTGCTTCGATTTAGGTTAGCAGCACTTGTCTTATACAGTGAAGTTTATTTAAAAAGACAGACAGACAGAGTAAGGACCTATGAAGTGAGAAGTGTAGATTTTTTTGAAGTTAGATTAATGCCATACTTGGATGAAAAAACAAGTCTCTTGGTTGAGATACTAGGGTTTTGCTCAGAAAATGTGAATTCTCTCTTAAAGTCAACAGGTTTCTGTTGCAGAAATGCTTAGTTCATGGCATTGATTCATGCCTCAATTTCTCTTTGTATAAAATGACATTAGCGACAGTTCATTTAGTTTTTAAAGAGCTTTCAGAGCTGTGTAGAAAACCTGTCAATGCACACCTGTGTTATCTGACCCCCCACATACTTGTTGAAGACGACTAGCTGGATTTTGAGAAGGATGCTGTGTGTAGGCTGCCCTTTACAGGAGGATTAGTTAACAGAATTATGCTTATTCTCAGGCAAATATCTTTCCCATTTTTTGTTATGATTTCAGCATGCTGCTCCCCATGTTCATATGACTAATGGTAAGGCCTTGCAAGCCAGTGCAAGTGCCGTTAAGACAAGCACCATTCCAGTGATCAAGAGACAGAGGCAAAATTGGCTTGATGCTTCAGATGATGGTTTCTTTATAGCTACAGAAGAGACCAGGTAAGAGAAATGAAATCTAAGCAGGGAACAAGGCTTCACTGCATGCATGTTATTGATCCACTATTTGAATAAGTTTTTGTCATTATTATTTGAGGTTGCGTTACAGTGAAGAGGAATGTTACATCAAAATGTACACCCAACTTTGCATCTTTTGCATACTAATATCAGTATTTCACTAATAAGACTTACTCAGTCAGGGCTACTTCTCTGTGACAAAGATTTGAACTCTTTAATCGTTACTAATTGTAGTTCATATACAATGAAGCTTAAGGCACCTCTGATCATTCAGCAAAATGTAAATGCATCCACAGTGTAGGTTATACTCTAAAATTTTCAGAACGTGAAAAATATATAGCACACAATACAGAAATATATAGCAGATAGCATCTTTTCCAGGCTAGAAATTGATTTCCTTTAAAAGCAGCTAAGATGATCGTCTTTTTCAGTCTTTCATTTACAGATTAATTGCTAAAATTTAATTAGCTTTTGCTTTTCCCAGTAGAGCTTGATACCACAGAAGAGTCACTAGTTTTCTGGAGGCTTCTCTGTTCTTTTCTTCCCCTGTTAAGATCTGGACATTCCCTGATTTAATTCAGACTAAGACAAGAAGTTACAGTCTATTTTTGTGAGCTGTGGTTGCTGGGCCTGTTATTAAAAAACCTTTAAAATCTTGCTTAAGCAAGGGGATTATTACGGCAAGTAACATCAGACTGCTCGTCACTTCTGTGATTATTTCACAAGCCTAGAAAAGCTGGTAGTTGAACAAAAATGTAAATAATAAAATGAGGGAAAAGAGCGAACATATGTAAATATAGAGCTAACCAAGGACAATGTGCATATTCAGTCCTGTTTATGACAGATTCAGCTAGGGAAGTCAAAATACTAGTACGTGACAATTTGGTGGTTATTTCAAGATCAATTAAATATGGCACTTCATTTTTCTTTTGTGTGAGGGATGTGACAATTCAGAGAGAGTGGTAGGAGGATGGTGAGCTCTTATGCTTCTAATATGTAGCCCAGATTGATAGCATTCACTATTTTGAGAGTTGTTTGATGCAAAGGGCTTAGTAGTATCAGACTAATCCCTAGTGATTATACCCTCAAAGTGACACTGGTAACCTAAAATGCTGGTTTAGAAGTTTTAGAATTTTCAAAATTTTTTTTTTCAATTATTACAGAGAAGTGCCTTTCAAAGGATGAGATGAGATGAGTCCTACACTGGCAGTGTTTGTCTCTCTCCACTGAACTCAGGGGTAGCCCAGACAACTGGCCTAGACTAGATGTTTAAATTCGAGGTGATTGAACTACGGTGAGAGGAATCCTGCCTTTGCAAAACACTGATCCATGATAGCCCTGCCTGTTCCCATCCTAGGAAATCCCCCTCCCCACTCTCATGGCTGTAGACACCATACCCAGGCCAGGCAGCACGGCAGAACTGGCACCGTCTCTCCCTCCGCACCCACGGTGGTGGTAAACAAGGGGCTTAGTCCTCAGGACTTTGTGTCTGCTGCTCTTCTCCAAATCATTAGAAGTTTAACGAGTAACATTTGAACTCTCCTGGTATGGGGAACATGGGGCAGTTAGACCTCATTGCTACTCCCTCAAACAAGGAGGTGCGTGAAAATGTCGTGCTGCGTCACTCTGGACGGTGCTGAGGAAGCACAGCAGGGAATACTTGAGGACTGGCATGGGTTGAGCTCCACCAGTACAGCTGTTCCTAGTCTGACCAGAGCTAACGCTGTAGGTTTGGTGCCAGCACGTGTGCATGCACCTTCCTTCTGTGCTAGCAACACACAAGGAGTAATAGTGCCTCACTCACATTAATCACCAAAACTATAATAGGAGACAGCGACTTTTTATCCTTTGAAACTTTATTTCACATGAGATCTGTTCCTTCTCTCACAGGGCTTTTCCTTTTTTTTTTTTCTTTTTTTTTTTTTTTCCCCTGTCTCCATCCCCATTGATTGTTCCCTACCTCAGGAGGTGTGCTTTCTCCTTTCTAACTTTTTCCTTTGATCCCCTCCACCTTTACTCCAAGATTATTTAGAAGAGATGGTGTAGCTTGTTCTCCTCTCAGCTCTCACTTGCCTCCAGCCTTTACAGCTCGAAGTGGAAAGCACTGTCCGGTTCTGCCGCTAGGAATGCGCTGATGCCCAAGACGACAATTAAATGCTCTGCTCTTTGGGGGAAAAGGGAGGAAGAGTGAATGGTCACTAGTCCCTGACAGCCAGCATGTCCTGTGATAGGAGTTCGCGTAGCTGAGCACGGCTGTGACACAGTTGAATGCAATTTAATTCTCATGGGAAAAGATATCTAGGGAGGAGGCATTTGTGAAAAAGCAGCAAACAATTTATCCAGTCCTGCTATAGAATGATGAAAAGAAAAATCAGTTGCCAGTTTGCAGCCATTAGGCGTTTAAATACGTTCTGAACACTCAGCTCAGAAATAATGATCCCATTTGAGTCAAGGCAACACCTTGTTCTTTAGGATAACTCTTTCATGCTGCATCAGGATCTGGTCTGTTTTATCACATGCATAGGTTCATTAAAAATACATGTATGACAGACCCATAGAATCATAGGATAGCTTGGGTTGGAAGAGACCTCTAAAGATCATCTAGTCCAACCCCGCTGCAGTGAGCAGGGACATCTTCAACCAGATCAGGTTGCTCAGAGCCCCATCCAACCTGACCTTCAATGTTGCTCTACCACCTCTCTGGGCAACCTGTTCCAGTGTTTCATCACCCTCATCATGAAAAATTTCTTCCTTTATATCTAGTCTAAATCTACCCTCTTTTACTTTAAAAGCATTACCCCTTGTCCTACTATCGCAACAGGCCCTACTAAAAAGTTTGTCCCCATCTTTCTTATAAGCCACCTTTAAGTACTGAAAGGCTGCAATCAGATCTCCCTGCAGCCTTCTCTTCTCCAGGCTGAACAACCCCAACTCTCTCAGCCTGTCCTCATAGGAGAGGTGCTCCAGCCCTCGGATCATTTTTGTGGCCCTGCTCTGGACCCACTCCAACAAGTCCAAGTCTTTCCTGTGCTGAGGGCCCCAGAGCTGGACGCAGTACTGCAGGTGAGGTCTCACCAGAGCAGAGTAGAGGGGCAGAATCACCTCCCTCGACCTGCTGGCCACGCTTCTTTTGATGCAGCCCAGGATACGGTTGGCTTTCTGGGCTGTGAGCTCACACTGTTGGCTCATGTCCAGATTTTCATTCCCCAGTACACTCAAGTCCTTCTCCACCGGGCTGCTCTCAATCCCTCCATCCCCCAGCCTGTATTGTTTGTTGCCCCAACACATGCTTTTTACAGCAAAAGGAAAAATATTTTTCAGTATAATTACAGCCTGCAAAAGGGAAAATACTTTTCAGTATAATGTTTTGTTTACAACAGCCCATAACAATTTTCATTTCTCTGTCCTAAAACATTTTTGTTTGTGCAGTGAATTAAGGTTTAAAATGCATATTTCTATAAAACATCAAACAGGCAGTCTAGAGGGTGAATTTTCTCAGACATTTAGCCAAAAAAACCTATACTGAAATAGCTGGTTGAGAAAAAAAATGTAATAGTACTGCTAAACTAAATAAGGTGCCAGTGTATTTCATGCTAACCAAGCCAAAGATGCAAAACATGAGCATTCTGAATTCTATTATCTATTAATAGATAAGATGAATATATTTATTTATGCCTATAGCTCCATTTTAGAAGATATTTTAAAAGAAATTATCATCCTTCCCCCTCTGAATTTAAGCACCAATCATATTTCTGTGAAGTTAAATATTGTATATCTAATTGCTCACAGATTCCAGATATTTGTACTGATGAATGAGTAGGGAGCTAAATATTCAGAGCAGTGAAAATAATTGTAGAAATTATATCTCATCTAAGCTTTCCAAGGTAACCCTTGGAGTTACCCTAGACTTTTAGGGCAGTGCCCATCACTCTTCACTCAGGCCACAGTTCAACAGTGCCTGCAGGTACACTTAAAATGTAGTGTAAGCATATGTATCATTGAAAAAAAAAAAGACTGGAGTTTAGATCTGAAGTTCAACATATTTTAGGTGCTGCTCTGCTCTTCAGAGTAAACAGGAATGTACTTTATATCAGTTGTAACATGCATCCTCATACATGCCAGCTTTTTTTTTTTTAAGCTGTAGCTATTTGAAAGCAGTTTCCTCCTCTGTTGTGTATCAGTATCTGTACATCTGGGGGAAAATGCCAGCGTAATTCCCATTTGTATTCCCCTCTCTCCAAGCCCAGAGGCCTCTGCAAAGCTGGGCTGCACATTAGTATGGTGCTGAGCCCCAGTCATTACAGCTCCTGGCCAGTTTGGGGAAGGGACAGAGTAAGTTTGCATCTGCCTGTATGTTAGTGCCATGAATCAATCACCCATACGAATTTCTTGGTTGATCTACATCTATATAGAGAGATCCCCTTCCTGAGTACCTATCAGCATGCTCAGTGAATTTTGCCAACAAATATAGAGGTCCCCAGTTTTGCTATTTCATCTGTGGTGGCAGGCTGCAGTATCCATTCAGAAGCCTTCCTGATGCCTGTGTGAGTCCAGCTTGCTTAGGATTTTCACACCTTTGTTCAGTCACAGGCTCAAAGCAGGGATTAATCTAGGCAGAAAACCAGGTGACAGTTCAAGAAGACTTGCCTTCACATTACATCATAATTTTATGTTGACCTTTGCATTTAACATTTTTGTATTTTCCTTTATTCTTACCATTTTTAAATGAAAAAGGAATTCTTATTCCCTACTGCAAAATAAATTGCTCAAGATTTTAGTCTGAGGTGCAAATCTGTTTACACAATTCATTGAAAAATCACTCTTTAAAGAGCCTTACATTTGTCACTACTCACCAAGGGAGACTCCTTATTTCTTTTTAATATACTTGGATATTAGCTGCTAGGATCCTCCTAGTGGTAGGTGCATGCTTTAGGATCAACCAAAAGTCTCATAACTATAAAAGAATTTTATTCAGGACATTGTACTGTATATACCTTCACTATAAGGAAGCATTTTGGGTTTTATTGCCCTTTTGTTGACTAGCTGTAATGTGGATTCTTTTGTAGGCCCTGTTAGAGGTTAATGCAGAAAATTACTATATTGTGTGAAATTAAATTCTTTATACTGAATCACCATTCTGGGAGTTAAATAATGATTGAAAAAATGGGAAAATTCATATGGCCTCCAGAAGTTTAATAAAAATGTAATGTATCAGCTTAGTATCTGTTCAATTATATAAGACATAATCTATGAATAAAATTAGTAATATAGCTGTTGGATGTCGAGGGAAATGTATCTGTTGATTAAAACTTTTCTTACCAATTCTAGGTATGCAGTGTGCATACAGTTCCTATACACATGCTCTGTCCATAACAGAATGCACGTGCATGCTAACGATCATACTTGTATAGGGACAGCTAAAACACTGTGTGGCAAATGAATTTTTTTTTTTTCAGCATTTGCATTATAAGAAATGTGTGGAAATGTTTGGCTGAATGGGTTATAGCAGCAGATTCCATATGCTTTCCCTTCATGGGCCAAAAAGCATATTTGCATATAGAACTGCAGTTGAATGACTCAATGCTTGTTTCCTTTCAGTGCTGAAGCAGTTAGAAACCTTCTCACGGTAAGTGCAACTCCATTGGGAATGAGTTAACTGCAACTGCTAAAATTAGAACGTGATCTTTAGCTGTTACCAGCAGACATTGCTTCCTTTTTGCTGATAAAATGATTTGAGCGGCATCCCTGTGGCAGCATTATATAGGCAATTTTCATATTCTTCGCTTCACGTTCTGTCTCCAAAAGGAAAAGCTTCTCTTGATTTGCTGAGGTACTACATAAGGATATCACAGTTGCTGTGGTAATTACCTGATACCACTCATTTTTATTTATGCATGTCTCATAGCACACACAAAAAGCTTAAAAACCAAAGTTGCATGCTGAGAAAGAAGAGAATGTGAAGCTGACAACCAGCTTCAGCAAAATGTTGAGTCTTGCCTTGCCATCAGTGGTCTGGTTCTCTTGCAGAAGTGGGGGAGAATGCTAGTGCTAGTGCTCACAGCCCTTCGTGCTCCTGCATATGCCACAAGCATTCTTTGCATTGTAGCTTTATCAGTGTAAACCCAACCTGTACCTTTAAAAGCAAACTGAAAACTCAGGTGAGCCAACCCTTGCTAAGTATCACCAATATTAAGAACTGTGAATGACCTGCCCTTGACCCTTCTCCCTCCCACATGTGTTTTAATCAATGCTTAGACAAGGTCAGGCACAGTGTTTGAGTTACCACTTGTCGCACGTTGCTGGGAGAAAAGGGAAAAGTGGGGGAGTAAGTCTCCAGTGCCTGGGGTCTGCTTTACAGTGCATAGGCGCAGGTCTAGATCAAAGCCAGAGTTCCAGTGCTAACTGCTCTGCTCCTTCTTCCTCTTCACATGTGCAAATTGTATCACAGAAATGTTCATAGGTATGTTTATCCTTTTTTTTCCTAGTTGTCCCCAACTGTGCAAAACAATTTGTGCACAAAAAAAGTATTTTTAATATACACCCAGGGATGACTTCTGCTTTTCATAAAGATGAGGCAATTTGATTTGAACTGGGATCCTGGTTTTGAACTTCACCGTACTTGGATGCAGGGCATAGTGCATTTTCATTTCTTACCTGCATGGCGCTGTGGCCATTAGACCCCAACCCTGTAACCGACCACATGAAGATACCTGGCTGCACCCTTGGAGCATCAGCTGCGAACCTGAGAATCTGATGCACCAGCTAATACCCTCTAACCAAAAAAATCAGCCTCCAAGGATGTAATTTTCTGGTTCCTTTACTTCTGCTGTATTATACAGTTGTCATACATCTTGAAAAGCAATGATTATAGAATGTATCCCTTAGAATTATATCTAATCCTCCCTGATAGGATTGCAAATATCTTATTGATTGGCTGCAGCTGAGTACAGGTGAGCTGACAACCGTTTCCAGTCAGTGTGACAATACTGCACATTGGGAATCTGGGGAGGAACTGTCCTTGCTGTCATTCAGGAGCGGTCCTACCTGGCTGGCTACTGGTCAAAGTTGTTATATACTCATGACAGTGAAAATCCATAGTCTAATAGTTTCTGTGAGTTATTATTTTGACCTTATTTAGTGTGGACTATTTACGAATGCTGCGCACTGTTCGCCCCTTACAAATCATAATTCTCTGAGCTCCAGCTGAGGTACTGTGATACAGAATAGCAACCAGTGATATAGAAACTAGATCATAATCTCTTGCGATTTGTTTCTCATTGAGCAGTTTTCATGGACCTACAGATACTTTCACTGTTTATCTACGTGAGTTTTTCCTCTGGCTCCTTTTATGATACCTATGTACTGCATTCACCTCTGGGGCCCCCAACATAAAAAGGACATGGTCCTGTTGGAGCAAGTCCAGAGGAGGGCCACAAAAATGATCCAAGGGCTGGAGCACCTCTCCTGTGAAGACAGGCTGAGAAAGTTGGGGTTGTTCAGCCTGGAGAAGAGAAGGCTCCAAGGGGAGACCTTAAAGCAGCCTTCCAGTACCTGAAGGGGCCCTACAAGAAAGCTGGAGAGGGACTTTTTAAAAAGAGCATGTAGTGATAGGACAAGGAATAATGGCTTTAAACTGAAGGAAGGTAGATTTAGATTAGATATAAGGAAGAAAGTCTTCACTATGGGGGTGGTGACACACTGGAACATGTTGCCCAGAGAAGTTGTGGATGCTCCACTGTCCTGGTTTCAGCTGGAATAGAGTTAATTTTCTTCCTAGCAGCTGGCATAGTGCTGTGTTTTGGATTTAGTATGAGAATAATGTTGATAACACACTGATGTTTAAGTTGTTGCTAAGTACTGCTTATGCCAGTCAAGGACTAATGCAAAAGTTTTGCATGATCCTGCAAAAGCAGGATCATTCCATGAAACTAAAATCAACTCATTTGAAGAATGTGATTTTTTTTTTTTTTAAACATATAAAAGGAATAATAGATACATACATGGAAAACATGTACATAACAAAAGCCAAAGTTCAGTATAAGTTGTGCCATTAGTTAGAGCTGGTAGGTTTGAAGAGCATATGATATTAAGAGTTTTGCTTTGTCAGTCTTCAGAACAAATGAATCATAGAATCATAGAATGCTTTGGGTTGGAAGGAACCTTGAGAGATCATCTAGCCCAACCCCCCCTGCAGTGAGCAACTGAGCTAACCAGGCTGGTCAAATGAAATAAAATCATTCTGTTTTGGAGCTATGTATTAATCTTCTCACAGTTTTAAGATGAAGTTTCAGTGACATTGTAATAAGCTACCTGCCCTGTTTAAAGCTACATGGTAAGGGAAACATGTTGCAGTGGCTGGAGTGCTTACCTAGGACTTGGGAAAATGTGATTCAGTTCCCTGCTCCCTCTCAGACTTCCCTTGAGACCTCCAGCAGGCCTCTTAAGTCAGTATCTCCAAGCATTTAGAGGCCTCATATAAAAATTAACAAGGTGACTAAAATTTTTTCATTGTTGATGGTCTGGAGGCTATTGTCAATGTACCCTCTGTTCTTTGTCTGAAGAATCAGATGAAGAGTACTTTATTCTTTCACAGGGCTGGTGTGCACAGAGCAGGTCAGAAGCCTTACAGGGGATCTTCTTTCAGAGAAAACTTTTTACCTTTATTGGTAATAAAATCTCATGGAAATGCCACCCACAGGAGTCCAGAGGCTGCTGACTGAAACTGGGTGATTTGTTAGTTTCAGAGGTGTCTCCACTGATTAGCAGGTGAAAATGAATTAGTGCACAGCTTCGGTGATGACTGCAGGGAGACTGAGGCGAAGAACAGATGGTTGTAAATGACCTAGTTACTGCTGCCTGAAAAGTCACACCGCTGGATCTTGTAAAATGAGCTTGTCTGATCCTACCCTGTTGTGAGCAGAAATTCAAATATGCTGCCTCTCTATGGTGGCTTAGATACCAAAGTATATTTGGCAATTGCGTCTTAGGTAGGAGCTTGAATGTGGTTAATTCACATGACTCAGCTAAAGGGCAGTGACACATTTAGAGGTGTTACTCAACCACTTGCAAGCTTCTCTGCTCCCCTTGACAAAAGTAATTTCACATTCAGACAGTAGCTGCAGAAGTAGCCGGAGCATTTTATATTTGGGAAGGGAAATACAATTTCTGAAATGAGACTTTTTGCAAAATTTTATTGTCTTGGGAAACTTAGGGAAAAAAATTCTTAAATGAAACACAGGGATGATAATAAGTACATTAAGGATTGTCTTAAACACAGATGTTGGTGGAGAAGCTGCTGTATAATACTTAACTTTTCCATAAACTTCATTCACTTTGTTAGACCTTCCAGACCCAATTCAGCAAAGCTCTTAAATGTATGCCTGACTCCCTCTGAGTGCAGTCAGCTAGAGTACATCATCTAGTCAGTAATACACCTTATATGTCAGCTGTTAAATTGGGATGTCATGCAATTCTTTTAACCTGTTTTCTTCCAGTTCTTCTTGACAAATTTTGAATTTCCTGCAGTATGGTTGGCCATTTCAAAAGGTTTTCCTTCAGAAGCTGTCTTTTGTGTTTGTGCAGAGGATTTGATGTAGCTGAACCCAATCCTCTTTACAGGATATTTTAACTGAAAGTCTTAGGGCTTAGCTTTTTGTTAGCTTGCTGCTCACCTTTTTCCTAAATCCACATCCCCAGTGGGAATGTGCCATCTTGTAGTATTTGGTCGCCTTCTATTATTGGAGTTAAAACCAATTTGGTTTTTAACAAGAAGAATTTTTTCTATAAAGAAGCATCTTTGTATAGGAAGCCAGTTTCTCTTTTGAAGCCTTGGGAAACATAAAAAATACTAATAAAAATGCAGACTTGTCAGACCAGCATAGTCTTCTGCATATTTAACTATCAAAGAAAAGATAAAGACAAGATTAGTTATACAGTTGTTACCTATAGCAAAGCTAGAGTAACACTAGTTTAGGGCTAAAATTAATGTACTCTCACCATTCCTAAACCACAGAGGTTTATTGCATTAAATCTTAGCTGTTGGTGATTTTAATCCTCTGCACAATATCAGTCTTAAGAGATCTTTCTCCCTTTTTACAGTTTCTGTGCTATGTGAGCAATAGTTATTAGCAGAAGCTGGACACAGGGTTAAGAATACTTTCATCTGAAGGCAGAGAAATACATGGCAATGATTTGAATGCAGATACAGAAACTAGGTAAATCCTGTGGAGAATGCACTGTTGTTAACATTAAATAGCAAAGAAGATGATAAAGCTGTACTGTGGTGAATATGTTCAAAAATATAATGTCAGTGATCCTCACAGTCTTAAAATTAACACAGAACTGCCCACTAACTTTCATTTATAAGTTGTCCTGTATTGGATTCTTCATTTAAAATTACAGATAGAGGACTTAATTCAGAGCTAGTCTGTATTTCAGTGTGTGTATTTAATAATTTATTCTTATCATTTTCCTCTGCTAGGTGTTTTTTTTTTTTTTAACTCATTAAGATCTTTTAAATGCATGACCCTCTGGCATTAATGTAAGTAAGGCTGTGGAAAAACAAATGTTAGTTGGTCTGTTTTTGTGAAAAAGATTGGCTAAATAACTACATAGGCATTTTAAATG